CGGGGAAGGGGCCGTCTGCTCGCCCGAGCCTAATTACGGTTTATTTCCTCCCCGAGTGCCCTCTTTGATGTGTGACTGGAAGGGAACGAATTTCTTCTCTTTTAACCATGAGGGATGCAGACCGCCTTTTCGGGCAGTTTGATTTGAGCCGCGGAGCGTGCTTTTGCCTGCGAAACGGAATGGGAAAAGCTGCAGCAAACAGCAAAGCAGGCATTTGAGCCGCGAACTTGTTTCTTTTCTCTTTTTTTTCCCCCCTCCTTTTAAAAATCCAGCCCACTCAAGCATGAATTATCTTCAAAGTTGCAAGTGAATGTAGTAGGATTTTAAATAACCAAAGCTGTCTTTCAACATGTTAGTATTCCCCGACTGGAGCAAACGAGATTCAGACGCTCTTCGACTATTGAGCCATTTTTAAAAATCCAAACAAAATCAAGAGCTGCTAAGAAGAAACATTTGGAAGTCATCCAAGTCGGGTGACAGATAAATAGATTACATATTTGTCATAAATCTCTATGCTATGCACGACTGGAACCATCAAAGTAATTTCAGCAGTTCTCCAGCAAAATCACACGTTACTCTTCAAAGGAAAATAAAGATTTTTTTCCCCCTGGAACAAAATGGGCATGTAAAACAATTTTGTTTTGAGAGATAGAATAAATATAGTATAGTTTTGCAGTGTGTGCTGTTTACATTTACACAAACATCTACTTTGATTACTTATATGGTATTTTAAATTAGTAGCAAAAATGGTTTTGTCACAACACTGGATTAAGAAACAGGACCATTTCTTAATTAGGTCGTTGAGAGCCTGAGCTCTAGAGTCTTCTGCCTAATTCAAATCCAGGCTCTGATACTAACCAGCTGTGTGAGCCTAGGCAACTTACTGAATTTGTCTGTGATTCACTTTCTTCATACATAAAGCAAGGATAATGATTGGGTGAAATTAAATGGCAATGTGTAGTAAGTGCTCTATAAATGTTATTGATGTTGTTTTTATCTTTATTCTTCCCAAATGAAGAATCTTTAGGGCAAAAACTTGAAATGTAACCTCTCCTACTTTACTTCAGTTATGGGAGAAAGGCTCTTGCTTTGGAGAGCAGAGAAATGCCCTTCCAAAATCATCTTAATTTTAGGGTGCATTCTTGGCACACTTTGCTAACTGTTGTACAGAGTAGAAACTCACATTGCCCTGGCCAGTACACAAGCCTTGGGTCCTTCTGGTTGCCAGTAACCTTTCCCTTGTCCACTTGATGATTCTCTCTTAATCACAATTCTTGGAAATGCAGAGAGAGAGAGCAGGCACCAAGAAGGAAGCATTGCTTTCAGGAGCAGCCCAGTGCCTGACATGTTCACTTTTCTTTGTAATCCCTCAGGAAAAGCTTGACTAAACAACATGGAAGTGTTCATGCTTGTACTGCTTCATTCATACATGAAAAATCCATGAAGTATTAATACCAAAGTACAAGAAGTTAGGGGCACTTTGGACAGAAATGACTGAAGGGTTAGCTCAGGACTTGTACATTAACAATAGCATTGTTTATCCAGTTTACACTTAGTAGCTAGCCCTCGCAGAAATCTGGATTCCCCTCTAAAGCCAGATGGCCCCACATGCTTCCTGGTCTATCTTTAGGTTTTACACACACACACACACACACACACACTCAACAAAGAAACATGAGGAGTTAATTGTAAAAACAGGAAGCTTTAGACCAGACTGAGGTCTGGAGTAACTTATTTGAAAACCTACCAATTCACAATTCTCTAGTTTAACAGCAGCCTTAGAAATGCTTTATAATACCTCAAGAGTACAATCAGGAAACTTCTCTGTCTGGCAAGAGAGGGATTGTACATTTACACGATTTAATGGTCTTTGAATTTGCAACATCCTGTAAGATTAAATTCAAACGTTTGTTCCAATCCTCTCTTCACTTAGGAAGAGATTTCTCAGTGTTTCTTCAAGGTAGTTTTGTTTTGTACTTTGTAGTCATTTATTTGTCTAGAATTCATCGTTTCTTAGAATGTTAAATCCGGCAGGAAAGGACTTTGGAAAAATCATACCCATCTGGTTCGGGGCTAAGCTATTTGCTGTGTTTTTTTCTAATCAGAAGGTAAATGGTAGGAATGGACCATGATGGCCTTTAGGGGTCGCAAGAGAAAGACTACACCCCCCTCCCTCCATGCATTATAATTGAAGCTCCCCTGCAGGTTACGCATACATAACACTGCCCGTGTACCAAAGGCATGCATGTGTACCTCCGTCTTGATCTACACAATGGAAAGTGATACACTTAGCCGGAACCAGTCTCCTTGGTGATAAATATTTGCAAAGCTAATCACATCCATAAGCTAGTATACTAAAAGCAACAAATACAGCTGCAGAATGGTACCATTCTTTATGATACCCAAAAAAACTGAAACAACCCAAATGCCCGACTGATAAATTAATAAATAAAATGTGGTATGGCCATACAATGGGATATTATTTGGCAATAAAAAAGAATGAAGTACTAATACATGCTATACCATGAATGAACCTTGAAAACATTATGCTAAGTTAAAGAAGCCAGTCACAAAGAACCATATATTACATGATTCCATTTATATGGAATGTCCAGAAGAGACAAATCTATAAAGACAGAAAGTAGATTAGTGGTTGCCTAGGCCTGGGAAGTTTGGGAGGATATTGGGGGTTCATAGCTTAGAGTGTGGGGTTTCTTTTTGAGAAAATGGAAATGTTCTAAAATTGACTGTGGTGATAAATGCATAATTCTATGAACATACTAAAAAAATCATTGAATTGGACACCTTAAACGGCTGAACTGTCAATCATATCTCAAAAAACTTTTAAAAATTGGCACCATTGCCTCATAAATATATATATTTTTAATGCTATCGAAAAATCCAATCTCAGGCCCTGGCTGGGTAGCTCAGTTGGTTAGAGTGTTGACCCGATACACCAAGGTTGTGCGTTCGATGCCCACTCAGGACACATACGAGGATAAACCAATGAATGCATAAATAAGTTGAACAACAAATCTCTCTCTCTCTGTCCCTCCCTTCCTCTCTCTCTCTAAAATCCATTTAAAAAATTCAGTCTCTTCATGGTTCCATTCCCAGTGAGGGCACATGTCCGGGATGCCAGCTCGATCCCCAGTCAGGGGTGTGCAGGGGGCAGCTGATCAGTGATGACTCTCTCATCATTGATTCTTTCTCTCTTTCTCTCTTTCCCTCCTCTCTATGAAATCAATAAAGATATATTTTAAAAATAAAAATAAAAAATTCAATCTCTCATGGAGTTTTCAAAGGGGTCTCTAAGTCCTCTTGATCTAATGAGTAAGGTTTTTAACTCACCTAAAACATAGAACGCATATGTTTTCATTATCCAACATAATTTTAAGAGGAACTATAATACACTGAGACACAGAGAGATTAGGTGTGTTGCTTAACTTCTTTGAGCTTCAGCTGTAAGATGGGCATACTACTAATGTCATTCCCTACTGGACGTTTGCTTGGACAGTGGACTTGTAAAGTGCAAGGTATTTGACCTACACTCACAGGTCCCACACAACTATGCTTTGAATTTTTACTTTACTTTGAGTAATTTTTCTATTTTCTCTCTTGGTTCTTGGTTTTTGCCGCTGACAATATCTGTATCGATAGTCCCCATTCTAATTTGCTGCTTCTAATTTACTGTATGCAGGGAATTCACAGATTGTTAAAACAGTCTGAAGGAATTAATAATTTTTGAGTGAGGACCTGATGGCTCTTCTATGAATAAAGTCCATGAATTGGCGATAGGCCTAAAAGTGTCTTTTGGTGTAATGGTTTTGCTTACTGTCAGTTTCTTGGTTTTCTTTAAGTGAGGTGGTGCTACTCTGTTTCTTTAACTAGTTTGCTGTGGTATGAAATGAAATACTCTTATAAATTAATGGTTATTTACCGGGTATTTCCAAGACATGACTGTCCTATCATGTGATCAGTTCCTTGGGTTTGCAAGGTTCCTCCTTCAACTCAAATCTGTGCAATAGGTGGTGACTCGTTCCTATTTACAATGCTGCTGATAGGAAGATACTACGCAAATGGAAACCTGGTGGTTGGAGGAGAAAATAACAACATGTATAGAAAAGGGCAAATATTATGAAATGGAATTTTA